TCTACCATGAGGATATGTGACAAAACTATCAATCGCTAAAAGCAGAAGACAGTAGCGCAAATATCATGGACTGATTGAAGTTAGACAGGTAGGTAACATCATAAAATATCGACTTAATAGTCGAAAAAGATTATACATTCAAGTGATTTCAGGGGCTTGTGAATAAGAACTGTGTGAGTTATCTCATGCTCAAATGAAACAGCCATCATATGTTTCATGCTTTCCAATAATGATCTAAGCAAAATCGACTCTTGTGTTTTAAACTATAAATATAATAAAATTTTGAACAATTTAGTCTCGTGTGCTATTGCGGGTATGAGTCAGTCAGTCAGTCAGTTGCAACGTAGAACTTCGAACGTATATACATAAGTTCATGTTGCCATACCACATTATTAGCACAAAGACGCAAATTTCAAATCAAATCCCATGGTGATAAAGATGGTAGAGGTATTAATGTTATAATAAAGAAGACTAGGGTTTAAGATATTATTCAAAAAATATAATTCAGTGAGATAAGGTTAGAAAGACAACGGGTAGAGGTGCTGGCTAATCCAGAAGATTAGGATTTGAGAGAGCTCAAAGAGTGGATGCACCTGCGCCATTGCAAACGATTTTGAGCCATGTCGTTCAAGGTCTCTAACCATTGATGACTTTCGTCTCGCGGACCCCAACCAGGTAGTCTACATCTACCAACATGACTCAGTCCACTTGTCAGGGACTTCATGGATTTCTGCCATGTTTTGGTCTGGCCGCCCCTAGCTTTCTTCCAACCTACTCCTACACCACAAAACATAGCTCGTCAAGGCAGTCGGTGGTTAGGCATACGTAACACATGTCCCAACCACCTCAACTGATGAAGTTTCACCACTTCATCGATTGATCTGCCATCCTTACCTAGTACTCGTTTCCTAACGACAGCATTGCTTACTCGGCTGTCCCACGATATACGAGCAATGCTTCTTAAACATCTATGATCGAATACTAGTAACCTACGAACATCTACTCTTAACGGCCATGTTTCACAGCCATATAAGAGAACGGAACGAACTGCTGCGCAGTACACCCGCCCTTTGGTTAGCGAACGGATATCACGCCTACGCCATAAGTGACGCAGGTTGGCAAAAGCCAATCGAGCTTTCTGTATCCGAGCTGAGATTTCGTCAGTCACCAGACCGTCAGCACTGATGAGACTCCCCAGATAAGTGAAGTGATCTACACGCTCGACTACTTCACTCCCTATCACTAGTTCAGGTGCCGAAGCAACCCAGTCTTGAAGCAACATTTTGCATTTCGAGGGGGAAAACCGCATCCCGAACATGCTCGCATTGTTGCTTATGGTAGTCAGAAGACTCTGCATTTTGTCAGCGTCTTCACCGAATAGAACTATGTCATCGGCATATTCTAGATCAGTAAGCGACTTTCCTGGTAGAAGGTCAACCCCTGAAAAATCTGACGAGCTTAATGTTAACTCTAAGAGGATGTCTACGACAAAGTTGAACAAGAATGGAGAGAGTGGACAGCCCTGACGGACACCACTTGATGTAGAGAATTCAGATGACAGTTCGCCATATGCTCTCACCCGACCAGTGGTGTTCGAGTAGAGTGCTTGTATAAGGTTAATGTACTTCTTTGGTACACCTTTCAATGACAGACACTGCCACAGAGCCTCACGATCCACTGAGTCGAATGCCGCCTTAAGGTCGAGGAACACGACTATTGTCGGACGTCTAAATGTGTGTCTGTGTTCCAGGACCTGTCGTAGTGTGAAGATGTGGTCTATACAACCACGTCCAGGTCGAAAACCAGCCTGGCTTTCTCGAGTCTGCCCTTCGCGAGCTCTAGTTAGACGTCTAAGTATAATCGAGGCTAACAATTTAGACACTATATTAGTTAAACTTATTCCCCTGTGATTGTCACAAGAGGACTTCTGTCCTTTCTTGTAGATTGGGACAATTAGCGACTGAGACCAGTCAGATGGGATTACGTCCATTTCCCAGATTCTACCTAGGATTTCGGTCAGTTTAACCGTTAAAACTGGACCACCATCCTTAAACATCTCAGAGGTAAGCCTGTCGGGACCTGCCGCTCTACCTCTCCTTAGATTTCCTATAGCTTTCTCAACTTCATGTAAACTGGGAGGACTTAAGTCGATTTGCCATTCAGGATGACTGGAGATCGTGGGCAACCGAAGAGTGGCTGAAGGCCAGTTGAACTGATCCCTAAAGTGTTCTGCCCATCGGTCCAGCCTCCTAGATTGAGAATGGATAATAAGACCATCCTTTTCTGAGATAGTCTCACTTACATTCGGGTTCCTAATACCGGTTTCTTTGATAAGGCGGAAAAGTTGTCTAGTGTTGCCTATCGCCGCTGCCTTTTCCATCGCTTCTGCTTTCTCCACCCACCACTGTTCACGGTCGTTACGTAGGCTTTTTATAAGTCTGCGCCTAAGTTGAGTACGCTCTTCATCATGTTCAGAGTCAGGTGGGATGCGTTTTCGTGCATCCATCAGTTCGGTGGATGCGACTGAAATCCACGGCTTCATCCTAGCCTTATGGTTTACCTTGCTAGCAGATATCACTGCTGTTTCCACAGCCTTCTTTATATCATTCCAACCTGCTTCAGGATGGGAATCACTTGCATGGTCGCCTAACTGTTTTTCTAGTTCCTCCTGAAATATTTTCTTAGCTTGATTATCATCAAGTAAAGCCCTAAGAGGCTTCCTTACGGTGTCTTTCCTACGTCCAGCAAGCCTCAAACAAATACGTGCTCGCAATAGGGCATGATCTGAATCTAAACATGTGCCCCAGAACGAGCGACAGTCCTCTATCGAACCCCTCCATCGGTGGCTGATGGCGATATGATCTAGTTGTGTCCAACGTTGAGACGACCGGGGGTCGCCAGGTCAAAAGGTGTTTTTCCTTATGCTTAAAATTAGTGTTTGCTAGAAATAGTTGGTTATCTGAGCACAGTTGCAACAGACGGTCGCCATTGTCTGTTCTTTGAGCCGCGAGACCGTAACATCCACCTAGGTGTCTTTCATTTTCACTTAGTCTACCTACTTGTGCATTGAAGTCACCAGCCATTATAACTATATCAGAGCGCCTAACTTTTTGGAGGAGGTCCGAAAGCTTTCTGTAAAACTCATCTTTTACATCATCTGGGCTGCAGTCAGTGGGGGCGTAGGCTGATATGACGAAGAGGCAACGGCGAGTGTCCCTATCTTTCCGAGTCCTTACTGTCCCGTTCAGTCGGACGGCGCACAAGCGACTATCTACAGGGATCCAGTCAAGGAGAGATTGTTCTGCCCTACGACTCAATGCTATACCTACACCGGCGAGGCCCCTAGAAGCAGCATCAGGGCTACCGCTACAGCACCGGCAACAGCACACGAGACAAAAAAATTGCGGGTATGAGGGCGGTTGTCACTTCCCGGATGCCCACACCGTGGAAGGTTGTTTCTTGAGGGACCTGAAAAGTAAGATAGATTTGTGTTGGTCTTAACGACCTGGTTGCGTGACCGCAGAGTCCAAAGGACAACTGCTTGAGGCCGGTCACGCACGGCCTTTTTATGAAACGTTTTTTGAGGATTAGCTCCGTTCTTAAAGGCCCTTAGTGGGCATCCTTACTCAAGGAGACGGAAATCCGTGAGTTAGGGGAGGTGTGACATTTTTAGGGTCACCCTTTTCTAACCACTTCCTTCCTTGTGAGAAGGCAGAATCGCTGCAGATGCTGGTTGTCCGAGGGAAACACCTTACTGCTGTCACACCCCTCTGCAGTCAGTCAGCAGTACGACTTCGCCCTCAGACCTTGAGTAGCTGCTTTTAGTCTCATCGTTCTCCAACCGACGACCTGCCTGGTATGGTAGAACCTTCAGGAACATAAGTTCCAGCCAATATAGGTCGGTTGGGTGATCACGATAGGCAATCTCGACCACCACGTCAAGGTAACAGCTTCGGTCGGGAAATATAATTAAACATTAAGTATGAACAGGAAAAAACAAACAATGTATTATCATAGAGAATATAATTCACAAACGTTTATTCATTCGGGAATAAAAAAAATAAAAATAAATTTATAAATAAATCAATAAATACATAAAATAATGAAGATGAGAATTTGTCATGCATGAAGAAAGATGAAAAAAAAATAAGAGTTTATTTTGGGGCACAGTTTTGGAGGTTTGCGACTTTTTTTTGTTACACATTTGAAATCATTAATCAATCATCATTGTTACTAGACCACCATTAGAAACCTGGAAGCACTGGACGGGCGTTTCGTCCTGGTGTGAAACTCTTCAGTGGCAGTGCGCATCCACGACTCCTGCATCTCGTAGGATTCGAACCCAGGACCTTCGGTCTTGTGCGCGAACGCCTAACCATCGGAGCACTGGGCCGACATCCAACCGTGGTAATGTCTAAATCTGATTGATCTAGGGATTTTGCGCAACCTCACCCATTTGTCTTTGGTAGTTACTGCCTACACCCGACAGGGTTGAACTGCACTGGTGGTCACGTCTTCTCAACTAGAACTCCGAGAATTTCCTCACGAAGCTAGTCACTAGTGAGCACTGTTACGATATATTGGGGCACAGGTTTGGAGGTTTGCGATTTTTTTTTGTTACACATTTGAAATCACTAATCAACATTGGATGCCGGTCCAGTGGTCCGATGGTAAGGCGTTCGCCTACAATGCCAAAGGTCCCAGGTTCGAATCTTGCGAGGAGCAGGAGTCGTGGATGCGCACTGCCACTAATGAGTCCCATAATAGGACGAAACGGCCGTCTTTAAGTGCTTCCAGGTTTCTAATGGTGCTCTGTCTTACAATGATGATTGATTAATGATTTCAAATGTGTAACAAAAAAGAGTTTATTTGTAAAAAGAAAAAACAAAAACAATGCCTATGATCAGCATTAATATATTATAAGTAAACAACGGAGGACTACATCAAAATTCAAAGAAAATTACGTAATATATATATATAAAATAAATAGGTAAACACACCTCTTGTTGTTGTTGCAGTTGTAATTGTTGTCTCATATCCGAATGTAGCATTGTTGCTGTTGTAGACGGTAAACGAAATGATGAAGTGGATGAACGTGTCGGTCGATTGTCTACAATAGCCGCCGGTAATATTGGTAAATTAATACTTAATTTATGATTATTCATTGGTAATGATTTTGAATTGGCTATTACTGGTGAATCATTACTCACTTGACGAAATGGACCAATTGAAGAAAGTGGTAGATCTGTTTTATATGGTGTTTCGGGAGTTCAGATTCTCTGGAGCGTGGCAATGTTGCACCAATTCACTTAGCACGGACAAGAATTGTATCTGTATTACGCACGTTATTCGGCCAATGTTCCATTATTCATCAATCAATGAAATCAAAATGACAAACCAATAATCTAGGAAATCTAACAACATTCAAAACTGCTTGGCGAGATGTGCCGGTCGGCGGCTCAACACAGGCCGGCCATAAATAGAATATACGTCACAAGCCTTCGGTGGAAGGTTTAGTGCTTGTCGAAATGCTGGTTATGTACAAAGTTACAACTTCTATATCTAAACATTACATGTGTCGAAAAAATATAAACAATATTATTTGATGTGCATTAAATTGGACAAAGAGAAGAAAAATATGGTAAGTTTAGGCGACGAGTGTGTGAACATTGGAGATAAGTAAAGGTATTTATTATCTAGAAGCTAACATCCCGTTACAGAGTAGTAATCAACCTTAGCGCGTGCGCTCGTGAGCCAACTGTTCTGCCCCCAGGCGATGCCGCAGTACCAACTGATCACACACGCGGAGTGGCGCCGGCAGTCCCCAACGCCCCAAGGTAAAAGAGAGAGGGTTGGGAAGAACCCGATTTAAGTGTGGCCTTAATGTTGGCTATCAGAACCAATGCCCTCACGAATATCATCCAAATGCCCGTCAAAATAATCTAACTTCTGTACACCCTCACTCAACATATAAAAATACGCTGAAAAATGATTGCGTATCTTATATCTAAAGCGACCCAATTCTCTACTCGACTGGCATATGTGATTTTTCGGGGGAAAAAATTCGGACCATCATAACGTAAATAGGAATTAAGTCACTAATATATATTTCATCAATTTCAGATAAAATTGTGCGGATGTGCTGAATCCAGGGAATGGGATCTATGTCAAGTAAAGAGACGACAAGAAATAAATAGGCGCTAGAACACTGACACAACTGTCATATTTAGCACATGCCAGTATACGATCAACAAAAGAGCCAACTATAACACAAACCGTGCGAAACATATTGATTGCGTATTCCACAGACAAAGTTTGAACCAGTGCACCTTAATGACTAACCTTGATTGGTAACGGTGTAACGTCATAAATCCTGATCTATGCAGCACGGAACTTGTGCTATTATGGACATGAGAAGTTGCTATTGACTCACTGACTTCGATCTTATATCTTGGGTCACTCAGAGGCTTTAAAAATACGATGGTTTGTCAAAAAAAGTACATTAGTTATTCACATTTCGACATCAAACAAATATCCCCCCTTGGTAATAATCTTGAGTCGATGGGCCTATATGTTAAAATACGTCACCTGATTGCCAGCATCATTGCAGCTCTTGCATTAGCGTAATCTTGGAATTAAACATTCACTCTACATTGACAGGATAGCTCTTAGAGGTCCAAGTATTCCAATAATTTCAATTATCTGTTTACAAAAAGTTTTAAACTCTCCTGATCATCTCCTCTATACTATATAATCATAGTCTGCTGTCTTTCGACAAGATGACTGACACGTTTATTACTGGAACAAACCTAGACATCAGCGATATAAAACAGTTTTATTAACTGCGACTTACTGCATATCGGACCAACTAAAAATCCTGAAAATCATTGATATCCAAAATACCCAGTTGTAAGTAAAGTCAACTTTCGTTCACACCGATTGTTTGCTTTGGATGGCAAGTCAGGATTGCATATAGTTCGAAATTATCACTCTGTTCATATATGGGTTTTCACCTAATAAATCTATTGGTTGATTAAACATAATTACCAACACTTTTAATGAAATTAAATTAAATTACAAAGTTAAGTAAATTACAACCAACATAAGGACTCGAATTTGTTTTTTGCTTTATCATTTTTACACAACGCACATACACTAGTTTTCGTATTGTTCAATACTTTATTTATACACATCTTGTTCCACAAACCATGAAGCTCGGATCAATTGATTAGGACCATCCATTATAGTAAACCTGCGATCGCCTAGCTGACAGAGTACCGGGCACGTTTTATCCGTCCTAGCTATAAGGTAATGCTCTAACTCATTAGCTAGGTGTGTCATGTTTCACAACACATGTCATAACATCCTCCCCACACCCGAACCCAGGAACCGGTATTTGTTGCCGCTGAAATTAACGCCCTAAACCGATTTAGCAATCACTGAGGGCCGGTAATCTAAAACCGTGTGTTAAATGTTCTATAACTCTCGATTTAACTATTCACGGAGTTGAGGCAACCTCTTCATATAAAGTCTTTCGTTGTAGACACTGCCTACAAGTCCGAAACAGGTTTCTAGTGGTGGTCTCCCAACCATCGATCGATCAGGAAGTTTCAAAACACTGCGGCTGTAATTTATGTCTTGATTATCATTTATTTGTCTTTTTATTATTTTACACGCTTTTATATGTATTGAGGCAAGATTTTATTGTTTTTGTGTTTTTTAAATTAAATTAGTATGATGGTTTGATTCTTAGCTAGGTTGTTTTTGTTTTTTTGGGGGTCGCACTGTATGATCTAAGCCTCAAAATTAAAGGAAATATAACCTAAAACACCTGATGATAGAGACAATATTACTGTA